TACTTAGGGCGTGTGCTGAAAGGGAGAATCGTTTGGCGTTGTCGTGTTGATTGTATAGAAAAGTTTGTTTCCCATTAAGGATGGTGAGAATATCGTTACAACTCTGTATCATGTAACCATCACTACAACAAATTTTCCTCTGATATATAATTTTAAGATGTGGCTATGAAAGAATCTCATCCGTTAAATCTGCTTTTGACAGCTATTTGTTAAGCTTGACGTGTTTGAAAATCTACATTCAATAGCAAGCCATAAAACATCATGTCTTGGGAAACCATCATGGACGTGAATAAAACACAGTTTTTCCTCGTTTCAGTCATAATCCAAACATTATTTAGAGTTTTTGCATTTCGACCTACATGAATATGTTAGAAGATCGACTTTAAATATATATATAAAAAAAAAAAAAAAAATTGTTGGGTGAGGGGATGCTTACAAGATCAGTTGATTGAACCCAGCCTTCTTCCTCTTCGACGACTTCTCCCTCCTCGTCGACAATTGCTGGTTCTCTGAAAACGCCTTCTTCATCGTCGCCGAAATACTTCTCGATGTCTTCTTGGATATCACTGACAGAGATCTTTTCATCCTCAACGGTGAAGAGTACCTGGAGTTTCTTGATACCATAGCCAATGTCCTTCATTTTATCAGCGCTATATACAATGCCAGGTCTGGCCTCACGTTTATCTTCGTCCAGAGACAGTCCATCATTTTGAGGAGGCCCAGCTTTTAGGAGGAACCTTTTGATTTCGTCCCGTAATTTTGTCATGGGGGTTCTACTGCCTGGTGGGGGATTGGTTAGCTGGGAGCATTTCCAAGAATGACCACGACCAAATAACTTACTGGCGGGTTTGATCTCGAGCGTAACAAAGGATTTGGCGATCTTCTGCTTCGAAGGCCGTTTCCTATACTCCGCGAGATTCTTTTCTCTTTGAGCAATGAGCTCTGCATCTTCGTCATCATCGCTGCCGAAAAGGTCCATGTCATCATCGTCATCGTCATCCGCCGCGGCTTTCTTGCCGATCACTGGGATATCAGCAGAGCTGGGGCCAAACGAAGTGTACGACCGGGACGGATCACCCTTGAGGGCAGCGAATTCCGACTCGTACGAAGCAATGTGCTTATACCAACGGGCGACATGAGGGTATTTGACTGCGTCAGGGGCATTTTTGAATGCCTTGAATGTGACAACATCAGCTTGGGTGGGGGCATAGCTGAGTTTAGTTAGTATGATTTGTTGTTGAGAAAGCCTGTATCTTGGGTATGGCGGGGTAACAGACGAGAGGAAAAAGAATTCAGAAATGCGAATTCGCGTTGGGAGTAGTCATGCAGCGGTGTCTTAAGGCGCCTCATAAACACGGACCCAATTTATTTTTCATCATGAGAGAGGCAAGGAGAAATAACTGGAAGAGGAATAAGGATCAAAAGGGAATGAGATGACAGGACTTACCCTTCCACGTAGCTTCGGGTAGAAAAGAATTGATTGGCAGCTTTTCATATCCAGGGTTTTTTTAAGTCAGAATGGGTACATTGAGAGGACAGGAGGGAAGACGAAAGGAGTACGTACTGGCAAGGCCAGATTCCGAAGAGAAATCAGTGAAACCCATTGTCAACAGGTGGGAGGCAGTAGCTCTGGAGCTGGCTGGGACACGATTGCAGGCGCTGTGGAGGGGCGATGAAGGAGATGAGGTGAAGGAGCCAAGGTTTTGTGGACAGCGGGACGAAAATTTTGCAGGCAACGGGAAGGCTGGATGACTCAGCAGGCATGTGCGGGCTTACATGATCTGATCTGATCTGATCTCGTCGACAGCGTTTCTTCGAGAGCTTTCGAGAAATGCATGGATCGTCCTGGCTGTCGATGCTGCTATCTATTAGACAGTGGATATGATGCCTGTCACCATATTGAGTGTGCGATAGCCGGCAATTTTCTTGCGCTCTTTCTCTCATAATTTGTGGCTATTTTCTGTTGTTTTCCTCTCCTCTTCCGGGTAACAATGCAGCTGTTCAAGCTTCATCATGGCTATAGTGTTCGACTGCTCCGGGCTTCCGCCACAGGTGTGCGAACTCCAAGACCCACACATGCCTCGATTTCCCGGACTATATTATGCAGTCAATGGCCATCTTCTACCCGGATCACATACGGACCTCCATATTACCGACTTCCTACTATCCGCCATTATGCCAACGGGAGGCCACACCCGCCGGGCGGAACACACCGTATGAATTTGGGTGGCGAACCGGAAAAGCCGGCTTTGGAGGCATATGGAGTCGATCTTACTGCTAGAGCAAAGGATGGGAAGCTGGACCCAGTCATTGGTAGAGATGGGGAAATCCAACGAACAATACAAATCCTTTCAAGGAGAACGAAGAATAACCCTGTCCTAATTGGTTCCGCCGGTACCGGCAAGACAGCTATCCTCGAAGGCCTTGCGCAGAGGATTGTCAGAGGCGACGTGCCAGAAAGCGTTAAGGATAAGCGTGTGATTGCTCTGGATTTAGGTCAACTTATTGCAGGCGCAAAATTCAGAGGTGATTTTGAAGAGCGATTGAAAAAAGTTTTGAAGGAGGTGGAGGATGCTCATGGCGGAGTTATCCTTTTCGTGGATGAGCTGCACACACTGCTCGGGCTTGGAAAGGCTGAGGGAAGTATTGATGCAAGCAATCTTCTAAAGCCGGCTTTATCGCGAGGTGAGCTGCAATGCTGCGGTGCTACGACATTGAACGAGTATCGGCAGATCGAAAAAGATGTTGCTTTAGCGCGACGGTTCCAACCGATTCTCGTTGAAGAGCCATCAGTACCCGACACCATATCGATATTGAGAGGCATTTAAAGGAAAGTATGAATGTCACCATGGAGTAAGAATCCACAGATGGGCGCCCTGTGGGCTGCAGCCACATACAGACAACAGAATATATAACCGAATGTTATCATCTCGAACAAAGGATATCGAATCTTGTGGACGAGGGTCGCTTTCTGCCCCTCGAATACACCGGAGATAAAAACGGATGGCTTTTGAAAAACTCTAAAGGGTAATTTATGAA